CTTTTTTGCATGCCAACATTTACAAATAAAGAAGTTGGAATATTTACTTTTTTTTTTTAAAATTGCGTTTATCTGATTGGATGTAATGTATATTTTTGTACGTCTTTTTTTAATTATTTATCATTTATTTAGGAATTTTAAATACGTTTTTATTTTTTTTTTTAAAAAAATAATTTAAATGTAACCACAATAATAACATCTAATCACATTGTACGATCAGCACATTATATGGTCAACTGTCACTAATAAAAAGTTTAAAATAATTTTTTGTATTTTTGAAGTGATTAGTATTGATTATTTAATAATTAAATAAAAGATTAAATACATAAAAAAGTAACGGTTTTTGGAGGGAAAAATATTCATTACCACATAGGTAAAATTAATTATGTTTTATTAAATGCTATTGGCTAGTAATTATATATATAGATATCTTATTTAAATTAAAATTATGTCTTAAAATAAATAGAAGTCTTAATTAATAAAATATTAAAGTTTGATGTACACACTCAAGATCCAATTTCGACTTAAGCCCATTTGTAAGATTGGTGCAGGTCTATGTCAAGTATTTCAATTCTTCATTTTATCCATTTAAGTATTTTGGCTCACTTGTTTCTACTAGCCTATTCAATCATTATAATGTATTTTTATGAATAAAATATCTATTGATACAGTGAAATATGAAATGTCATATTCTCATTGAAATTCAAAGATGTAGTTTTATTAATGCACATGCCATTTTATTATAAAATTATGTAAATTTATTGAAAAGTATGTCATTTAACAGTTGGCTCTATCGAACAACAGTTCATATCGTTTTTAGTTTTATCGAAATTTTATTAGCTTTTCCTTTTAAATCCAAACACTCTATTGTTAACGTTTACATAGTCGTGTTGGCCAATGAAAAAACGTCCGAATATCGACTATTTCATGAATCGAATTGCTCACAATTCTTGTTTTGGTAGAAATATAAGTACATAACATAAAGAAACTTTGAATAGATTTTATCAAACTCCATTTATCTTCGGATGCCCGATGTCTCAAAGTGGAAATGTGTTAAACTGTTAAAGTATCTACCAAATTGCTTAATTGGTCCCCAAAAAATTACATACCCTACAAGTTCAGAGCAAAAAATGTCTCATTCTCTCAATTATCTCTTTGGGAGAAACAAAAAAATTGTGATGGTTTTAATAATTTGTTGTTTGTACCATGGCCATACACTTCTATATGGTGGACTTCATTCCCAATGGAACTCCTTTCTCAGTGAATTATTATAAGATCACGAATTATTTCGTGACAGATCCTAATCGTTAGGTGGGTCGACTCGCCATACTATATATGTGAATAAAATAATACGTATACAAAAATTATATATTTGTTTTTGTTGTTTTTAGGAAAAAAATAAAAAATAAAAAACATAGGAAGGCAACTTAATTGATTTAACCTAGACGTGGCTAATTGTCGGGCCGCGACCGGGCCCGCCGGGTCGGGGGGCCTCAATCTCATGGCTCGTGACCGGCCCGCCCATTTATATAGGCCCGTTCCCTGCCCTTAAAAAAAATTATGAACCGGCCCTTAAAGAAAAAAATAACGATGTGGTTCGACCGGAGGCCCGACTCGGCTCGGCCCAGACTAGCGGGACAAAAAAAATACATTATTAACTGGGATTGAACCGCGATCCTAGGGGCAGGTTCAACGAACCGATCCTTAGGAGGCCGGTTCGGGTCGGGACGAGACACGAGACCGATTCACGGACCGCCCCGTGAACATGTCTAATTTAACCACTACAAAAAAAAACTCTTACATTCCAACGGAAATTTTCCGTTGGATTTGCTTATATTTTCGTTGGAATAAATATTCCAACGGATATTCCTACGTATAAAAATCTGTTGAAAAAATGGTCGTTTGAATAGCAAATATCCAACGGAAAATCATATAGAAATAAATTCCTACAACTATTCCAACGGAAAAAAAAAAACCGTTTGAATTTTTCAACTATCCAACACTTATTCCAACATAAAATTAAGTTTGTTGGAATATTCATTGGAATTTCCAACGAAAATTTTTGCCGTTAGAATTGTGGTGTTTTTTTGTAGTGCACCTAATTTTTGTGAAATAAAAAATCGATCCCAACAATCACTATCGCCATCTCGATCCTATGTGTGAGTTCCAAAGAGAGTTTAGTGAAATTATTAACTCCCCCAATAAATAAAGAGCCGTTAAATTTATTTAGGAATAAATGGTGATTGGTCCGCCATTTATGTTACAAAATTTAATGTTCTTAAAGCAGATTATAACTACCGCCATCAATAAATGTCTGCATTCTTATTAGTTTCATTGATCACTTTATAACAATAATAATAGTCGCTTTCTTATTTATCCATCTTTATATAAAAATATACACATATATATAAATTAAGTAATATATATTAAAAAAATTCAATAAATACTAAGTAATATATATAAAAAAAAATTGCCTCAAATATATTTATTTATAGCGTTAATTCACTGAATAATATTCTACAAATTACAATATTTTACAATTTATGCAAATTTGCAATCAATTTGGTAACTTTTTTGTTGGTCAGGCCTACTAAATAAATAGTAGTAACACTTATTTTAACATACATACACTTTAAAAAAAATTATAAATAAAAAATATGATATTTCATATTATAAGTTATACATTTTTATTAAATAGATATATAAGTGTTCATTCCGAAATTAATCGAATAAGCAAAATAAGCTTGTAGTTATGTGTCACACCATAAAAGCCCCAATAAGGACTATTATTTTTTTTTTTTTGGTACAGGGACCTTCCAGTTTTCGCATCCACAGGGGAACCGACTAATCCGGAATCGAGCCGGGTAGGACCACAAGGGCGGCAAAACTCTCCCTCAAGAGTTTTTAACACTGCTGCATTCACAACACGAGACCACTGGTTAAACTGAAAGAGACCAAAGTCATCTCATCCAAACGCTCTTGGATCAATAAGGACTATTATTAGCAAAGTGATATGAAGCCACTTTCTTGTGATAAATATTTATATCCGTTGTCACTTGTTAGGTGATGGAAATAAGAATGTTTAGAATCTTTAATTATTATTATTATTATTATTATTATTATTGGTATTATAGATTTGTTAGGAAACTTATTATTTATCACTTTGTTAGGATTCTTGTCTTGTTAGACAAGTTAGTATTGTTATGATTTTTGTCTTGTTGGACAAGTTAGTATTAGGGTTGTAGGAGCCTTATTTAAGGGACTCCTCATCTATTGTTTTATGCAGTTGATTTGAATAAAAATATGAATTGATTGTGAGTTTTATCGAGAGAGTATCTCGTTTACTCGTATCCTTTTCCCTTTCGTTTACTTTTCCCTACATCAGTTGGTATCAGAGCAGTCAGTACGATCGCGATGCTGCCGGGACGACAAGATGCCGCAAACAAACGAA